TCGTACCCATAAGGCAGAACACCCAGCTCGCGATGGGCAGTTCACGCCAAGGGTAAATCGTCCCTACGGGCTCCACGCCCGACTGAGCAACCTCGCTCCGAAATACCCGACATTCCATCAAGAATAACGGGACATCTACAAGGGTCAAAACAAAATCTCTCCTCTCGAGCGAAACACTCAAGCAACCCCGGCCAACCGAAATTGGGTCGAGGTTGCGCACAAACAGAGTCGAGCATAGTCGCTCGCCAAATCAAAGCCACCTACGGGCACTCGTCAGGCCCGGGACGAGCTAAATTCATACAAGCATGTCAGTTCATACAAGGGCAGAAAATCCAAAATAAACAAGGTGTAAACGCCCGAAGGCAACAAAGTAATATTAAACCGACCAAGAAGGCCGGCGATGTTCATACATGCAATAAACGGGCACGCAGGCCCAAAGTACAAATTCAAAAATCAAGGGCACGCAGGCCCGCTATCCAAAGAATACAAATCAAACTTCCGCATTATCACCACTGTCGACGCAGGGAGAGTCGGGCGGGGGAATGATCGCGCCACCGACAACCCGATGAGTGTGCCCGATACCCTCGGTGACCAAGCCGGGATTTAGCAACGAGAGCTGGTCGACGGCAGAATTGAACCCGTCTTCCAGGGCACCGACTGCGTCCTCCTCGAGGTTCCGGATATGAGCAATAAACTCAGCCCGACTCTTCAAAGCCATTAGGTCCTCGGGCTCATCTTCGGCGGGTTGTTGAGCAGCATTCAGTTCCTCGACCTGCTTGCCCAGGCGTTCGACTTCAGCAGCCAAACGATCCCTATCGGCCCGGAGCAACTCCCCCTCCTCGGTCAACCGCCCCGACTTCTCTTTCTCCAAGGTCAGCGCCTCCCTCTCGGCGTCGAGTATCACGGTCTGCTCTTGGAACATCCCCTCGGAGCGTTCCAGAGCGACCTTCAACTTCCTTGAGCTCGCCGTCAAGGCTGCCTTCTCCCGCTCGAGTTCTTCAACACGAGCAGCGTCCCCTGCGTCTTCAGACAATACCAGAGCCATTTCAGCCATTTTAACCAGCCCGTCCACGCTGGCGACCAGCCGCGACCGCCTCTCCTCTTTGGTCATCCTCTTTATGGCCTCGGCTTCATGCGCGACCACGGTCGGGGGAAACCGCTCGAAAAAACCCTCCTCCTCGATGCAAGGGGGAAAGGCAAAGGATTGAACGGGACCGGTATCTTCCCCGACAGTTGGGCCGCCTTCCACGCGGGTCCTCTTCCTATGTGTCAGAACGGCTTCGGCATCAATGACTTCGACATCTGGATCTGACGCCGCCCCCGAGCTCGACGTCGAATCCACCCTCACAGGCTGAGAAGCGTTCAGATTTGTCGGTGGACCCATTCTCGTCATCTGAGGGGCCGGCACGACCTTCTTGTTTCGCCTCTGGCCGGTTGACAATTTCAGGAGCCTCTCATGTCGGCTGGCCATCGTACCTGCACGAAGTAAAAGAAAAGTCAGTATCGAGCAAAACGCGTAAATAAATGACGAGTAAAGAATTTCAAACAAACAACCTAACAGACGGGCTGCCTCCCTATAGGTCGAGCATTCCACCAACGCCTTGGTATCAATCGGGCGAGCCTCGAATATCGGGTAACCGTCCTTGTCGAGGATGTCATTCCCTTCCCGTGTAACCCACTGGGCGGGATGAAAGCCGTCGACAAAGTTACAGAGAGCCGCATACGCCCGTTGATCCTCCGTGCACATGTCCCCGACTGCAGTATGGAAGTAGCCGGTTCCATTCTGGAAGTGTCGAGACATCCAGTACACCGGGAACTTAGCCCGACGTCCTAGTACGGGGCTCCCGTCATCGGTCACCATGGCCTCCCCGTCATCATCGCTGACCGGCCCTTCCTCCTCGAAGAGGGAATCCACAGCAGAGTCAGTGATAGGGTGTACCACATACCACTTATCCTTGAACCCCCTCACAGAGTCCATGTACATCCTAAACAGTCTCCTCGACTGCTTCAAGGACACCCAGCTGTGCTTCCCTCCTCGGGACTGGCGCTGTAGGTGGAAGACCCTAAAGAAGAGAGGGATGGTCGCCCCTATCCTTAAGTACCGGCACGTCAGCTCAAACGCCCGGATGAAGGCGAGAGAGTTAGGGTGTAGCTGGGACGGCGCCAGCTCCAAATGCGTAAAAACCCCGGTCTCAAAGTCTGTGAAAGGCAGCCGCAAACCCAAGTCCTTAAACGCGATCTCGTACATCGCAAAACTGTAGTCCGGGTACATCGAGCAAATTCTGGCAGTGGTCGCAGGCAGCATGACCTCGAAATTCGGTTGAAAGTCGGGCTGGTCCTGCCCCCCTTCAATAGCGATGAACGGGTGTCGGTCGTCACGACTGTATATCGACGCCGTCCCCCGAGGCTCGGCGCCCACCCATTCCAGCGACGGGTCGGTCACAGTGTCTATAAGGTTGGCCGACTCGTCGGCACTTTGTTCTTCGCTGTCATGACGACCTGAGGAGCTCGGCTCATCCGCCATGGTTACCTGCAGAGCACGGGAAACCAATCAGATTGAGCATGAAGCCCTATGCTCGACATAATCATGTCGTCCATACACTACCGCAAGTCCATTTTCACAAGTGGATGCCTCCCCGACTCTCCTGAATCCAGTGTTCCTCCACAAACCAACTGCACGGCCACTCTTCAAGCATGTCGATCCGGGGTATGAACATGGCGAGCCGCATTATGAAGCCCACGGCCACGACCATAAACATACCGGGCACCGGCATGAATCAGGCGCCCAGGATCATGAATACCCCGGGCAGCTCTGAAGTTTTTCACCTAAAACTAAGAACGAGTCGGCCATAAGTATGCGTTTGCCGGTCCTAGACGTAAATCTGTCGGGCAAAACACGAGTTTAACGGGCTAATCCCACATTAACGCTCCTAAAACATCCACAATTTCCTAGAATCATGCATTCTAAAACAAGAAAATAGAGAAAGTGGATCACTTACTTGGATCAAAGATGGGATTCGGCTAGGGAATGAAGAATCTGAGACGGGAAGTCACGGTTGGAGAGAGTGTTGAGAGTTGCAACGAAGAGAGCACGAAGAGCGGAAAGCGTATTATGGGGCCCAAGGACCCTATTTATAGTGATGACATGGAATACCAAACGTCACCTCGTTTAGCCACGGACTCCGTCTCCTCGACGCACTACACCCAACGCAATGATGGCCCTACCCCCCTAGGGTGGCGGCACAATTCCCAAAAGATGCCTCGCGTGCCCGACCAACGTGCCCGGTACGGATCCTCCACGCATCCACCACCGAGGACGTTCCCGAGCACGACACGAGGAGGGCCCTCGAGGGCCCGCGCTTCCATTCCGGGCACGAGACCTCAGCGACTGAACAACTTGGTTTCAAGTCATGGCTCCTCGCAAAGGAACCACGACTTGGGGGGCTCCTGTTCTGGACTGGGCCCGACAGGCCCAAAAGCATTACTAAGGCCCAGTCCAATGGGACTCACTAAGGACCACAATGGGCAAAGGCCCAATCCAATGGGACTCACTAAGGACCACAACGTCCATGCCCGACACCCTGATGTCCACCTCGACATCTCAGTGTGCCAGCCCACGCGACGAAGTCACGCTCGACAGACTGCCGTCCAGCTCTATGCCCTGGCTTCCAGCTCGACATTCGCTGTCCAGCTCGAGGTCTTGGCGCCGAGCTCGACATCACGCTGCACTGCTCGACATGGACTCAAGCTACCTTGCTAGGGCAGACTCAGTCACCATTGTCCCAACGATACTCCGTAAAGACCGCGTCTCTGTCCGCCCGCACTTCACGCACCACATCCAGGGAGGGGACCACGTGCTGATCCCCACTACCCACGTAGGACCTGGCAGTTCCTCCATTGGGCCAAATCCGCCCGGCCCAGTGAAGGAACCTTGGCCCAGCGCTGGGGGCTATAAATACCCTCTGCTTCCAGAGGGTCAGGTAATCTTCAATTCTAACCTCAGCTCTATTATCTGCTAGTACTCCCACTGACTTAAGCATCGGAGTGCCTTGCAGGTACCCCCCCCCCTCCTCGTTCAAAAAGCTTTCAGCTCGGAGCAGCCGTGACGGTCCAAACCTCCTGATCAGGTCAGATCAGATGATAATAATTTTTTTAATAATATTTATTAGTTTGGTATAATCTATTTATTTTTATTATTTCAAGCATAATCAATCACTCTCATTTTGTAATATTAACTTTTAATATACTATATGTTATATATTATATCAAATCTATGATTTATTAGTAGTTTTATAATATTAATAAAAATATAATGTGTAATTTGGATATCCAAAAACCGATCCAAATTAAACTGCATAAAATTGGATCGGATCAGATTGAATTTTTTTAAATTTATCATCTAAAATCGAACCGAACCTTAAGTGAATTAATCTTTGGATCCGATGAATTTTTGCTTTAAAACCGATCCAAACCGAACCGCGAATACCCCTACTCACAAATATTATTTTTAACTCAATTGTTACATACTAGTTAATAAATTATTTTTTATGATAAATTCAGAAAATATATTAACAACTATATTACTCAAAAGAGATTTTAATAAATATACCTCACATTATAAGTAAGTTTTATAATTTTTCTATTGTTAAATATTTGTTTTTTTTTTAATCAATATTCGACAGATTTATGATACAGCTGTGAATAAAAATCAGGATAGCATAAATAGTTATTATAACTATTTTATAATATATAGTTTTAGTATTATTTCATTAAAAGAAAAATAACTTTTTAAAATTATTATTTTTTAACAAATTGAACAAAATTCCATTTATATTATAAAACTGATATGACCGGATTCATGATTTTCTTTTAAAGATAATATTTTAAACAAATTACTATCTTTGAATGTAAGAGAAGATATAATTACTATCCTACGAGTATATAATGAACTTGAGTTTGAGCTAACCATTCATCCATTCATCATTTCTAAAATACAAACCATGGCTAAGCATAATATTTTTCTATTCTCTTTTGCATGTTTAGTTTTCTCTTCTATAACTCTTTTGAGTTGTGCTGCAACTCAAATTGGTAATGAATACATTGTATACATGGGGTCACTTCCTAAAGAAGTATCATATTCTCCAACCTCTCAGCATTTGAATATGTTGCAACAAGTCTTTGAAGGTGGCAACATAGAAAATCTATTACTTAAAAGTTATAAGAGAAGTTTCAATGGTTTTGCTGCAATACTCAATGATCAACAAAGAGAAAAACTTCTCAGTATGAAAGAGGTGGTTTCAGTTTTTCCAAATCAAAACTTTCACATACAAACTACGGGATCATGGGACTTTCTTGGATTTCATCAAACAATCAAAAGAAATCCGATTATTGAGACTGATTTGATAATCGGAGTCATAGACAGTGGGATATGGCCAGAGTCTGAAAGTTTCAATGATAAAGGTATATATTTTATCAGCCAAGTTATAATGTTTTAATTATCTTACTTTATTTTTTTAGATATTAGTAGCAATTTAAACCTCCTAACTTTGTTATCACTCTTCCTTAACATTTATGTTTTAATTATTAAGACAACTTTACATCTTCAACTAACAATATTTATACAAGTTAAGTGTATTTATTTGTTAAAGCTATTGAATTTGTATCATTGATTAGGTCTTGGTCCCATTCCAAAGAAGTGGAAGGGAGTTTGTAAAGGTGGTTCTAACTTCACTTGCAATAATAAACTCATCGGAGCACGATTTTATGGTAATACTGATAGTGCGAGAGATGAGGCTGGTCATGGAACTCACGTAGCATCAACTGCAGGTGGAAGAGAGGTGCAGGGTGTGAGCTTTTTTGATCTTGGAAAAGGAACCGCAAGAGGTGGAGTCCCATCTTCAAGGATTGCTATGTACAAAATATGTGGTGCAGATGGTAGATGCAGTACCAGTGATATCTTAGCTGCATTTGATGATGTCATTGCTGATGGTGTTGACATCATCTCTCTCTCAATTGGGGGTCAAAGTGCAATAGATTTTGTGAATGACCCTATTGCTATTGGTTCTTTTCATGCCATGGAGAATGGAATACTCACATCAAATTCTGCGGGAAACGATGGTCCTGGCGCGAGTACTATAGTAAGTGTAGCTCCTTGGTTATTTAGTGTTGCAGCAACTACCATAGATCGTAAATTCATTAGTAAGCTCATTCTTGGAAATGGAAAGACTCTCATTGGTAGTTCAGTTAATGCTTTCCCCTCAAATGGCACAAAAATTCCAATAGCTGAGGGTACTTGCTCAAGTGGCTTAGATAAAACATTGGTAGAAGGTAAGATTGTTTTGTGTGAATCAGGAGAAAATGATGAACCCGCTTTTCAAAGTGGTGCATATGGTATTGTCTCAAGTGTTAAAGATTCTCAAATTGACGTGGCTTTTGTCTCAGCGTTTCCTTCAACTAACTTGAATTCAAAAGACTTCGATCTTGTTCAATTTTATGCAAAATCCACTAGATCCCCTGAAGCTGAAATTTTGAAAAGTGAGATCTTACGTGACACAAATGCTCCTAGAGTTGCTTTTTTCTCTTCTCGTGGTCCAAATTCAGTGGTTCTAGATATTATGAAACCAGATATAAGTGCCCCAGGTGTGAGTATCTTGGCTGCATTTTCACCTCTAGCCCCGCCTTCTTTTCGTATCAGTGACACGAGAAAAGTTAGATATAACATAGTGTCCGGAACCTCCATGTCGTGTCCCCACATTTCTGGAATCGCTGCATATGTGAAATCATTTCATCCAGATTGGTCACCCGCGGCTATAAAGTCCGCTATCATGACCACAGCAAATCCTGTGAATGGTACTTATAATGATTTGGCTGGGGAGTTTTCTTATGGATCAGGGAATGCCAATCCGCTACTAGCTGTTAACCCGGGACTTGTTTATAACATCACTAAAGACGATTATGTGCAAATGCTTTGCAATTATGGTTACGATGATGAAAAAATTAAACAAATTAGTGGTGAAGCCTCAAGTTGTCGTGGAACTTCTGATCCATCTTTAGTAAAAGATCTAAATTATCCTGCACTAGTCATTCCTGTTGCACCTCAGAGATCTTTCAATATCAAGTTTCCTAGAACGGTTACAAATGTTGGATCTCCCACTTCAACCTACAAGGCTATTGTCACTCCAATTCCAAATGTCAAGATTACAGTGGAGCCAAATCTTCTCTCATTCAAATCAGTACAAGAGACAAAGTCATTTGTTGTCACAGTTGTTGGGAGTGTAGGATCAGGTCAAACCGTGTTTTCATCGTCACTTGTTTGGTCAGATGGCACCCACAATGTCAAGAGTCCAATCATCATACAATTAACATCTTAAACCATGTTATTGTTATGGTAAAATACATATGTGATTCTTTTGTAAAATAAATATATGATTCTCAAGAATCCAATAAATTATGATTCAGTGTATCAATAAAATTTTCATGTTTATGTTGGTTTCTTAAATATTCAAAACTAAATGTGCATTAAAAAAACAAAGAACATTGAAAGATACTTTTACTTGCAGAAGATAAAATCATGATGGATGACTAAAATAATTAAAGATACTTTTATGTTGAAATGATCTTCATGTTTGTGTTTGAGTATTTCATCTTCATTAAAAATATAAATTTATATGGCAGCAAAAAAGTTCCTTCTTCAGATATAAATTTTATCTTCATGAAAAATATAATGATGAAACATATTAGATTTCAAAGTTTTAGGTGTTTCTCCTTGCTATATGTTTATTCTGTTGATGTATTGGTAAAATGATGTGAAATTGTGATTAGTATTGTTCTAATCTTAACTGATCGTGAATAGAATATGTTTAAGCAAATGTTCTCCGATCCAAAGAGACACAAGATCCATGTTTTGTTAAGGATAACTGATTAGATAAAATCGTTGATGATGTAGATATATTATTGGAGTTTTTTATTATTCTGTTTCCGTTTTGAAAAGTGGAACTTTTTAACATAAATTTTAAAAATACTTTTGTGATGCAGTCTGTTGAAGGAATGGAAGTTGTTAAAAATCCTACACATGTTTTATTTATGTGTTTTTCTGTTATCGAACCAGAAATAGAGAGAATTATGGAAATCGTGATGGCGTGAGGTTTTCTGAGCACTACAATGATAATGTACCATAGATCTAAGGTTGCGATCATGATGCTCCTTGAACCAGAGACATTAATCTTGAATCAACATTGTTATTCTCCGATATAACAAATAAAGAGGGGGATTGCATGGTTAGCACTCCAACACCTAAGTCAGTTTAGGGTTTAAGATAATGGTAGTGAAAGTGGAGATTATAGATTGTGTACCTGAAAATCCTTTGTGAAGGTATTTCTATCCGGGGCTCGATGGAACAGACTAGATAAATAAACGAGCCTCGTGAAATTGGGCCTTTGGCCGACATGGAACAATTGCTTTCAAGACTAGTCGGCCATTCTGGATGTCGGGGGAGTCTTATGCTAAATATGGTCGGCCTTTAGGGATGGTTGTCCAGGCGTTGGCTGACATGTGCTACTTTAGTTTTTCAAAACTGTGATGGGAACATGAGCATTAAATGCAATCCCATTACTGAAATGTTTCACCTTTTTTCTTTGACCTGTGATCTGAAAAGGAATGAGGTGACGTGACATTACTTATTGTGTACTTGAATAAACTTGAGTTTGGTTGTATTATTAAGATGAAATCTGATCGTTGATTCACCATTACTTTTTGCTTTCAATCCGATCATTTGAATTTGCCTATATAAGGATAGTGAAAGAGTGCAGAGAAACCTTTTCACTATCTTATATATTGAGTTTCCCTTGTCTCTTTGAGTTTTTCACTCTTCTATGAGAGCTCTTTCTTCAGGGCTTCCAAAGCTTCAAAGATTTGGCTTTTCAGCCCTCTCCTTACTTTGGAAATTTCGAACTTACATTTTAAGGTACCTTCTCTTCACCTTAGATTTTCACTCAAGCATTTACTGCATTTTCGCGATGATGAATGATAACTATATTGTCATTGAGAGCGACTCAGAGGGTAGTGCTTCTTCATCTTCAAAAAGGGGAATGAAGTCTGATTAGCATTCCTTCCCTTCTGTCAGTAGGGATTTTAAATCAGAAGTCATTCTTTAGAGTGATGACTCGGATATGGAAGGGATGTTTGGAGAGTCTCTTTCAAATGAAGCTCTTTCTAGGTATTCTTCTGAGGCTCAATTCCCAGAAAAATATGAAAGGGGCCACAATGTAGTTGATAAACTAATGACTTCCCATGTCTTGAATGATGCATAAGTAGAAGATTCACGTAAAAGGAGGAATTTGCTGATAACTTTGTATGGTTGTACAAACGAATAAATGATCGCAGACATAGCGTTGCTGAAATTGTACATCATTTGCAATGTTAGGGACAATCAAGGGTTGTTTCTTGGGTTAGTCTCGACGATCATTATAGAGCTGGCGTACTGGATCGTAAGGGACTCTGACTAGTTAAGTCGGTTAATGCCAACATATATCATCGGGTGGCTGCTCAAGTGGTTGGGACTCCTTTGTGAGACGAGGAAAAATTATCTAGAGGGGGTGAATAGATCTCCAATTAAAATTTTAGTTGAATTTTTTTCTTCAAAAACAAGTAAAATCTATGGCTGGCCGAAGTCGTGTCCTAGATCACAAGTCATCCAAAGAGAACCGGTTATTAGAGCTCGGATATGTGTCAATCAATTCTTAATGAATAACGATGATAAGAAATTAATACAACAAATTATCAATTAATGGTTTGATAACAACAATCAAACAAACCAATTTCCAATGAAATTAATGGTAAAGCTAATTGAAACAACCTATCGAACACTTTATACGCACTTTGATTTTTCATATTTTCCTTTGAACTTTGTTGGTATTAAAAATTGTTTACAATCAAATGGATTTTAATATTATCAGCAAATCAATTTTACAATCAAAGGAAATGTCTGTAAATCCGAGGCCCATGTCTCAAATTTCTACTAAATCGCTTCGCCCTTAACATGCCTCGTGCTTGAGGGACTTATGTACATCCGAGTCCCATGTTCCGGATAATCGAGGAAAGGTCCCGCCTTCCAAAAGGACCCACCTTCATGGGAGGGCTCGCCAAAGAGGAAAGGGATATATATATATATATATATATATATATATATATATATATATATATATATATATATATATATATATATATATATATATATATATATATATATATATATATATATATATATATATATATATATATACACACACACACACACATTTGAGACCTATGTCCCGGATCGTCTAAGAAGAGCTCGACCATTAACGTCTTACCAGATTTCTTCAGAGAATCAAGATACTTCTTACATTTTCTCTTCCAATGTCCCTTTTCCTTATAGTAGAAACATTCAGCATCAATCTGATTGACATTGACATTTTTGTGCTTGGGTTTGGTCACACCACCCGTAGGTCCATAAGACTTCCTTTTTGCGTTAAACTTTCCTTTTCCCTTTTTCTTAAAGGCCTTTCCAACAACCATAATAGTTCCTTTCTTTTTTCAGAGGAAAATTAATTCTCATAATCAACCAGGTTAAGCATTTCATGCAAATTAGTATCCATCTTATTCATATTAAAATTAATAACAAATTGTGAAAATGAATTAGGAAGTGATTGCAAAATCAAATCTTGAGACAGCTCTTTCCTAATTGTGCATGCCAACTTCTCAAGTTGTTCAATGAGGTCAATCATTTTAAGAACATGGGGTCTCACTTGACCATTTGTACTCATTGGTGACCTAAATAAAATTTTAGACAACTGAAATTCATTTGTCCTACTTTGTCCAATGTACATCTTCTTAAGATGTTCAATAATTTCAAGAGGGTTCATATCCTCATGTTGCTTCGGAAGATTAGGACTCATGGATGCTAGGATGATACACTTAGCAGTAAGACATTGTTCTAAGTACTTCTCATAAGTTTTGGTTGCTTCAGCATTGGTTGGGCCAACAGGACCAGTCACAGCAAGCTTATCAATAATGTCGATTAGTTTTTCATGCATAAGAATAATTCTCAGATTACGGTACCAATCGTCATAATTGGATCCAACCAATTTCAAATATTACACAGAGTGACAGAGAAGACATACTGCTTATAAAAACAAAAAATGTTAGAACATTATTCTTTTATAATAATAATAACAGAGAGATATCTTAAATTATAATAGGGAGAAATATATATATATATATATATATATATATATATATATATATATATATATATATATATATATATATATATATATATATATATATATATATATATATATATATATATATATATATATATATATATATATATATATAGAAATATTTCTATTTAAATAATTTAATTCAAAATATATATCATATGTTGTAGTTAACTATTAATCACAAATCTCCTAGTTATGAGACTGTTTCTTATTATTACTTATTATTAACAATTAATTATATAAAAGAATTGATTTCATATTAAAAATAAAAAAGTTTAGAAAAAGTTTATATCTTGTATCTAATACAGTGAATTAACAATTTAATATATTAATGTTCTCACAAAAAATAAAATTGATAATGAATAAACAAACTTTTTATTTTTATTAACCGAACTATTTTGGTACCAGGTAATACACATAATATACTATTATATATGATAACATATGCTCCTAAACTATTTATAAAAATATTATTAAAAAAACTGAAACAGTGAAGTATGACGTGAATACAAAATTGTATCAATTAGAATTAAACATTCAGTTTACATGATAACATCACTAACATGCTGTATTTAACCTTTGTACCTATAATAAGTTTACCAAATATCATATGATCGTATCTGATTAGAAGGGATTGTCAAAGTCTACAAGTTTTAAGTTGAGCAACAGTTAAATGTAAAGTGGAGGAAGAGAGATACCTGCAAGACACTCTGATGCTAAAGTGAGATTCAGAGCAAGTGCAAGTAAGTATGAGAGTATGAGTAAGTGATTGAATACCCGATCCTCTTAAGTGAGAGGATATTTATATCCCCAGCGCTAGGTCAAGATCTTCAGTGATGGGCCACGATGAGGTCCAACAACAAAGACTGCCAGGATTTACGGGTGTATGGAGTCCAGTGGCCTCCTCCCTAGTCAACTGCCCCGAGAAAGCAGGAGTTAGACCCATTATTCTCAGACGACAATATGATGATGATATGGACGCGTAAGTTGCGTTCTCCTAGTGGGCACGTGGGGAAATACCCAACGGTCCTCAGTTTGGGCCGCATGCTTTTGGGACTTTGGTAAAGACGCTGGATTGGGCCTCCCTAACAGTGAGGCAAGTGTCGACC